GGGGGTTTTGAATTTCCCCGGGGGGGGGGGCCCCGCCAGCCGCTCTGGGCAGCCTGTTCCAGTGCTCTGTCACCCTCAAAGTGAAGAAGTTTTTCTGATGAGATGGAACTTCCTGTGTTCCAGTTTGTGCCCATTGTCCTGTCGCTGGGCACCACTGAAATGGGAGGCAGTGTCAAAAGCCTTACTGAAGGCAAGGTAGACAACATCTACTGCTCTCCCCTTATCCACCCAGCCAATCATGCCATCATAGAAGGCTATCAGATTGGTCAGGTATGGTTTCCCCTTGGTGAATCCATGTTGACCACTCCCGATAACCTTCTTTTCCTCCACATGCTTAGAGATGATCCCTGGAATGAGCTGTTCCATCACCTTTCCAGGGATGGAGGTGAGGCTGACTGGCCATTAGTTTCCCAGGTCTTCCTTCTTGCTCTTCTTGAAGACCAGAGTGACATTGGCTTTCCTCCAGTCCTCTGGCACCTCTCCTGTTCTCCATGACCTTTCAAAGATGATGGAGAGCGGCATAGCGATAACATCTGGTAGCTGGCTGGGCACTCACGGGTGCATTCCATCAGGGCCCATGGATTTGTAGATGTCAGGTTTGCCTAAATGTTCTCTAACCTGATCCTCCTCAACCCAGGCAAGGTCTTCCTTTCGCAAGACTTTCTCTCCTACCTCCACGGTCCGGGTTTCCTGAGGGCTGGCCTTAGCAGTAAAGACCAAAGCAAAGAAGATATTCAGTAACTCTGCCTTCTCTGTATCCTCCTATCACCAGGGCACTCACCTCATTCAGCAGCAGGCCTGTGTTTTCCCTAGTCCTCCTTTTGCTGCTGATGTACGTGAAAAAGCCGTCTTTGTTGTCCTTGATATCCCTTGCCAGTTTTAATTCCAAATGGGCCTTAGCTTTCCTCGTTGCATCCTTACATACTCTGACTACGTTCCTATGTTCCTCCCGAGTGGCCACTCCCTTTTTCCACATTTGGTAAACTTCCTTCTTCCCTTTGAGTTTTTCTGGGAGCTCCTTGCTCATCCAGCATATAGTCCCCTGTGTTCACGTAGAGAAATGCAAACAGAAGCGGTGCAAATGAGAGTGAGTGGGGTGATGAAGGGAGCAGAGATCCTGTCTTGTGACAGGAAAGGATTTGAGCATATTTATCCTAGCAAAATACAGGAAAGGATGTGGTAACTATTCATAAAAATGATTTCACCAAGGAAATAGAAGGAGGGACAAAAATTGTAAAAGTTAAAGCACAATATAAGTGTAAATAAATTTCTACGAGTAGATTCCAAATGCATTGGGGCTGGAAATTTGACTTTCTCACCACTTGGGGGATGGAGCTGTGGCATAAGCTTATAAGCACATCTTTGGATACAGGGAACCTGAACTAGTTTTACATTCTCTACTGTATTAATTGTCAAGGTAAAGACAGCCCTAGTCAGTGACTGAAGTTTTTCAGGTGCTCCTTGCTATCTGTTGGAGGTTGCAGGGAGGCTGAAACACTGATCTTTGTGATGCTTCATGTAGCATGTTTACACTGAATGGATCCCCTGCCTCAAAGTGCCCAGGGTGGCCTGTGGGACACCCCCTTTGTCACTGGGTGTTTATTCTGCATGTCCCTCCCTGTCCCCAAAGCATGAGTTTCTCCATATAGGTGGAGGCAGGATGCTGGGTGGGTTGTAATGAAAAACCTGAGGTGCCTAGCTAGTGTGTCTTTATTGTCTCATACTCATTGCTGGTTGAAATAATTTGCCTCAGTCTGACCAGTGGTGCTGTTGAAGAAGAGGATTTGGATCATCTGAGTATTTTCATCAAGCAATTCTTCCATTCTTTTATACTCAGATGAGCCATAACATGCAGGATATTGAAAAACATTTAATGTGTAGCAGAAATGGTCGTCAGGAGTAATCCTTTATAATGTTGTGGACTGGCAGCTTATTAAAGAGAACTAGATTTATCTAGTCCAGTTCTGTGGTCATGTGCCTGTTCTGGTTTGAAGATGGTGTCTACAAAGTGCCATTACTTCCTGTGGCATACCTAAAAAATGAGGTGGAAGTGAAGTAGTTTTCTAAATGCTGGTATTTCTCTGCAAACCTGCTTCTTCCATTGAATTACATTATATTAATTTGAATGTTACAAAAAATCTGTGTAAAAGACAATACTATCTGCTCTCCTAATAACTACATATGAAGAAATTGTTATTAAGTTGTCAACCCTTATATTATAAAGTTATTTTGCATTTTCAGCAACTTTTTATAATGGAATATGTGTCTTCCAGAGTATACTGCTGAATACGTGTGAAAGATGCAAAATACATGCATTAAACTGTCAATTTTCCAATAAAATAATAGCATGCCTGAGAGCTGAGTGGTGCATACTTCAGTTACTGTCTGAGCATTTATTTAATTATACAATTTCATATAGTTTGTAGGTAGCTTGTATTTAAAAACTAAAAATCACCGTAATGTATTATTGTGTTGCATGAAACTGGAAAGAAAAAAAAACACACCAAAATGAATGGTGTTTATGCGTTTTCCCTTTTTCCTTTCCCTATTTTATCAGGAGCTGCTGAAATGGGTTGTGGATTGAACAAACTAGAGAAGCATGATGAAAAACGACCTGGTAATATCTATTCAACTTTGAAGAGGCCCCAGGTAGAAACCAAGATAGATGTTTGCTATGAATATCGATTCCTGGACTTCACGACACTAAATGATAGTAAGTACACAATATTTTTCTTTAGATTTTTTTTTTTCTATTCAAGTTAACATGTTAATTGCTCCATAATGGTTTTTGAATAGTGTGTTTAATAAAGTTTTAAAAATGTCTTTAGTTTCTTCAAGTAACTGCCTTCTCTTCAGTCATAATACTGACACGCAGAGATCTTATTGAGAATTTCCTGTAAATTTTTAAGGTCATAGGTTCTAGTCGTAGGTTCTCAGATTTTTGGTTCTTTATACCTTCCCCCCTCCCTTTTTTTTTTTTTTTTCCTTCGGCTTACTCTAATATGGATTTTTGTTTCCTTAATTTGCATTTTATCCAGGTTTCATATAGTAAAGTAATTCAGGTCTGCCAGGTTATATACTTTACTGCTCTTTTTTCTTCCTTCCCATCTGTGCCCTGTGCTCCCTCAGGAGTATTTTGAGAGGTTAAAGTTAGTGTTTTCAGTTTTGCTAACTTACCTTGAATAACTATTAGGTGGTTACAAATACTTATAGTTGTGCCCATGTGGGTGGAAACAGAATAGTGGGAGACACTGAAGAGGTGAAAGGCCAAAGAGGTGACGGTCCACTCTCATGCAATTTTTACCTCCTTTTTTTTTTCCTGTCTGAAATAGTCATCTTTAATTCACATGACAATCCACAGATACTCCATTTCTTTCCTTCCTGATTGACATCAAGCATCTCTGCCAGTGTTGCTCACACCATTGCCTGTGCCCTCTTTCACTTCAAAATTAGCCTGTTCTACAAGCAATTACTCCTCACACCATTTGGAAATCTGAAGCTTGAGCAGAAGGCTGGGACCTGCTTCTTGCTATATATAAAACAACACAGTACCAAAATCTGTTATAGCTAGCTGGCAGTGTGCCAGGTAGAGCCTCTGTGCTTTTGCCCTGCAGAGCACTGCTACTTTTCTTGTTTTGCAAGTCAGGTCAAAGGAAAAGCCAAAGTGGTATGTCTCTCACTGTGTGAGACAAAGAGCTGCTAGTACGTCGCTTGATGTAACACCTCTAGTGCAGTTCAGTATGTTCAGCCCAGAGTAATGTGAATTTGTTGGTTTTTAAAACTTGCTGCAAGTTTGGAAAAAGGTGGAGGTTTGGAAGAGGTGGTTGGACAGGAGTGTGCTTTTGTAGGCCATGTGGGAGCTGAGACATTTTGTCTTTGCAGACTTTTTGTAGTGCTTTTCTCCTGTACTCGTGGATTCTTACGGTTTTGAAATAAAACTACATAAACTTAGTGTAACCAAAGCGAACAGTTCATGTCCTTCGATAGTCTGACAACTTTTTCTGAGATGTACTGCACATTGTGTCATCAGTGAAGATGAAATTAATATTGAAGACACACTTCTATGGGCTTTTCTGAGATGCTCATCGCTGATTGCCTCATAAGCTTTAGCTTATGCATTCTGGTACATAATGAAGTCTCGTCTTTGTCACTGTATGGAGGAAGAATCAGTACATGCGATAGCAATATGACTTGCCTCAGGCACAGAGGATGTCAGGCACGGAGGATGTCTGGCACAGAGCAAAAAATTAAACCCAGATTTTCCAAGTCTGATTAAATGGATAGATTTGTTGTAAAGCATACTTCTACGTTTTTATTACTCATCATAGATTGTTATATTTTGATTTTTGGGAGGCATGGTTTTAAAGAGACTATGAGTAGAAATCCTTTTATCAAACTCTTTGGCTTGCCAAAAAGTGTAAGCTATCCAGCTCCCATTGAGTTCTGCTTTGGCATGTTGTATCCCCATCACTCATGTCTCTGAAGATGCCAGTGGATAGGCAGACGAGGAGGGGATGGAGCTGTTGTTCCTGCTCTTTTTCCTTAGTATCACCCATGACTATGTGTTCTCAGGGTTTGCAGGGCAACAGCTTGTGGTTACGCGGCTGGCTCGCTCCCTGTTCGTGTAATAGGCTGAACGAAGGCTCATGTCCCACTATATAGTGTTACAACGTTCCAGGTCTTTCGCAATGGTGACAGCATCACTGGTTCATTTATATTTTTGCTCAGAAATAACCTTGCAGATAACCAGAGTTAATGAGTGTTTCACCTATGCCCATGTGGATTCAGAGGCTTCTAAAAATGAAATGCTCACAGCTGTGTAAGAAGAGCATTTGGATTGTGAAGTCTGTCTTCTGTGAATCCGCTTTAGCCCTTTCAGTGTGTGTATATATCCTGACATAATTTTTTCCACAGGTTTTCTACTTCATTAGATTTTTAGAATAAACCATGTTAAATTATGAGTGGCTGCAGACTATTTTATTGTATCCTTATTCTAGGCCTTGTTTACAACACTAGTGAGCCTGGCTCTGAAGATAGGTACTCATTTTTCTCTGGGGCTTTTCTATAACATTTACTGCTCTGATAACTCTATCTCTCTCAAGCATTTAATCTTAACAGTGAGAAGGATGTGATAATCTCCGTGTTGCAAGTGGGACCTAATAGATGGATTACTGCTAGAAGTTTTCCAAGTCGTTAGCTTTTCTTCATGTGTTCCAAAAGCAGCTCTCATTGACTTTAGACGTAAATGTGGATGCTGGTCACATCTTCAGTTTGGAACTGCTTGTATTCTCAAATCTGATATCCAGATAATCAGAGATCACTTCCAGAATGTGGTGTACATTTGAACAGCAGTTTCACAGGCAGCTAGGTGGATATAAGTTTTCTGCAGCTATATGTGGGGAGATATTGCTCCCCTCTCTTACCTCCTGTCTGCTCAGTGAATTGATTTAACTCATGGATCTGGCAGAAAGCTATGCAGTCTTTTTGTTTGGTTTTTCTCTGCCAGATCAGTGTCTTGTGGAAGGGTCTGAAGAATGCTGGAGCTGGTAGAAGTGGTGGGAATACGCAGTCAGGAAAAGAAAAAGGACCTTCTTTAAATCAGCTCGCACTCTTATGAACTCATTCCCTTAGCATCACTCTGTTGAAAACAGGGATAAAATACTGTCCTGCTGGTCATTTTCCTGCTATGTTAGCCAGAAACTTAACTTTTCTTGCAGTCTTTGGTTACTGTTTACCCTCTGACATACGCAGCTGAAGGAATGTAAGGAAATATGCTCCCTTATTACACATTTTTGTTAATTTCTGAACTTGAGCCTTGTTCTGCACTGATGCAGACGTCCACTGGAAAATAGTGTTTGATCACTTATTTAAGAACTGTATAAATAATGCATAGATGCAAAAGACAGAATTAAGGTCGCAAGTGTAACCTTCATTCTGATGTTTCCCAGTGTTAAAGGATTGACGTACTTGAAAGCGAAGCGTCTAGAGAAAGACTTCCCAAGCTTTCAAGGAAAGCAGGCAATGGAGAACCCATCAGTTTCCATTGTGTGCCACAACACTGATAATCTGCGTGGTTCTTCAGAATTAAAATGGTTAGATTTGCCACTGTCCTTTACTTGTTGAGCAAGTGTGATAATTGATAGTAACAAAGAGTTATCGTCTAGTATAGATTGGCACTTGAGGTATAAGGAGCACTTTGCTAAGGCATTTCAAAACCTTGTGGTGGGTATGCTCATTTTGAGTTGTTGGCTTTATAATGTCTGTTTATGAGTCTTCCCTTTCTTCCTGCTAAGGTGGCCTCTTCCAAGAAATCACAGTCTGTCTTCAGTGTTGTCCCTTGACAATGTCAAACTGTGCTCTATTCTTTTGTCATCTGTGCTGTCCAAAGCTTGTGGGCTGCTGTTTAATTTAAAGCAACCATGTTTTCAACCATGGGGCAAGCTGATTTGTTTTGTTATTTCATTTGAAATAGAAATATTTCAATAATCTGCATTCCTTCCCTGCTCTTATCTGATCTACTTATTTTGGAAAGTTTCACTTGCAGTGACAAGTCATACAGAAACTGAGCTGCTCTTCATCATCCTTTATTTCTTTTCTTTCACCTCTCTTCAGTTATGATGACCTTCTGAGAGAAACCTTCTGAGAAAATAGTTATTTATCTCTTACCTTCTCAGAATACTGTAGAGTTTGGTTTGTGGGTGTTTGGTTTTTTTAATGACTTGATTGGATTGTGTGGTTTTGTTTTGGTGTTGGGTTTTTTTTATTGCTTTGCTTTACATCCCTATAATAATTCATTGGCCTGATGAGTTACGACAGGTTTTGCCCTTGAATAAAGTTGGCATGAAACATATGCTAGCCATGTGATGAAAATGAAGTGGAGGTATAAATTTTTTTAAATGGGAAAAGGCTATACTCTGAACAAGCCATTTGTGCTATAAAACCACTAAAATCCAGATGTTTTGACTGACGGAATGAAAAATGGCAATACTTCACATGTCCCAAAGAAGTTCCTAAGTTATAATGGGAATACAAGGGTATATGGTTTTTATCCTTATTGTCAAGAATTTGTCTCTTTATTTTGATTTTTTTTTTAACCTAAAGAAAATTATTTAAAAAGTATTGTTATTAGTTACATTTCAACATTTCCACTGGTTTTTTTTGTTGTGTTGTGTCTAAGGACATGTATTTTACCAGGGCTGTACTCCTACTAGAACAAATTTACTGCACACATAAAACCTTCTGATTTGAGGCATTTTTTATATGTGTGTGTGTATATATATATATTTTTATATGTATGCATACATATATATATATAAAATTTGAAAGTGTTATCTGTATTTCAAGTTCTGACAAGCTGCTGGATACTATGCAATAATGTTTTGGAACCAGTTATACTGCTCAAAAAACATTTGTTACAGTCTTATTACAACTCCTGTGGCTGGGCTTTTGATTTATTTTTATTGGTTTTTTTTTCTAATAAAGACACTAATAATATGTTAATGAACCTTTATAAAAGACATTATTATATTACAATCGGTAGTTAAAGAAACAGTTCAGTATGGACATGTTCTTAATTTGGGATTGAATTTCAGTCGTATGTAGGCTTAAATTGATAAAACCCCCTCAGTTTTCCCCTCAGACAGGGGAAAGACGAAGTCTAATTGGAACTTAGAAGTGTCATGCACTGGAAGGTGTATGAGTTGAGGATAGAGA